GCCCAAAATAAGCAAGCAAAGAAACTAAATGGATAGTACACAACACTGAGTTAATATTTATAGTTTATTTATAAAGAAGAAACTAGATTCTAGCTACATTTACAGTAAGAGCCTGCATCGCTTAGTACAGAAAGACCAGGAAGCATATTGCTGATGCGTTTTTAAATGGAAGCAATACAAGCAATACTGGGGAGTGAAGAGTGAGAATAAATCCGTTTCTAACCTGTGTAAACATTAAACCCTCCCCTCTTGTAAAGTGCTCCACTTCGACGTTCAGAATTCCCTCCCACACCGGCCCAACTCTCGAGATACCAAAGCTCGCCAGGAGCCGGCACGCCTGCTACGGCACCAGCGCCTCAGCGCCGGCCCCGCCGCGGCCTCCCCCGAGCTCGGCCCCGGCGGGGCAGCCCCGGCCGCCCCCGGCTGCCGCGTCACCCCCCCCGCGGCACGGCCGGGCCCCCTCCCCGCCCTTTCCCCTCCCCTCCGCGCCTTCCCAGCCCCGGCGGGCTGCGGACACCACATACCGCCCGCCGCCGCCGCGGAAGTGCGGCCGGGCGGCAGCGCCGCGCCCCGCCCCGCCGGCTCCGGGCAGCGCCGGGAGGGCGCCGGCTGCGCCAACATGGCGGGCAGCGAGAGGCGGCGGCGGATCCCCGGTTCTCCGGGCCGGGCCTGTGACTGCCCAGACACGCACAGAGCTGCCCCTGGGCTGGCACAACCCGGCCCGGCCCGCGGCGCGGTGCCTTGGGGCTCATCAGCAGCCGAAGAAAAGAAATGCTAATAACGGTGTGATTGTAAAATCCCATAAAGAGCCTCTTGGTTTAGCCCAAGTTATAGCAGATTGATACAGCTCCAAGTCTAGCCTGGAGGAGGTTCGGGGGTGACCTTATTGCTCACTGCAATTGCCCGAAAATAGGCTGTAGTCAGGTTGGGATCAGCCTCTTCTCAGAGACTACCAGCAACTCAACAGGAAATGGCCTTAAGCTATGCCAGGGGAGGTTCAGGTTGGACATTAGAAGGAATTCCTCACAGAAGGTGATCAGACGCTGGGAGGGGCTGCCCAGGTGGAGTCATGGTCCCAGGAGGTGTCTAAGAAAAACTTAGAGCCATGGTCTAGTTGACATAGTGATGTTTGATCACAGGTTGGACTCAATGATCTCCGAGGTCTTTTCAAAACAAATTGTTTCTGTGATTGTGAGAAACAGTGTAGGAAAATCAGGAGCTTGGGCTAAAATGCACACAATGACCTGGAGACAAAATGATCATACAGGTAAGGCTGCAGAGAGTCTGCAGGCAGTACTGCTGACTGAGTGTGCAGAAAGGAGAGGTCAAATCTCAGATGGCTTTTAACCGGCTCTAAAATAAAAGATTATGTTTTTAATTGAGTTTTAAATTTTCTTCTGTTTTGACCTTCTACAGTTTGTTTTTGCATGCAGCATGGCTTGTGTTATGGCAATTTTTACTGCAGTGGAAGCTTTTGTATAACCCTGTTATTTCACAGGCTGCTTGCAAGGACTAAATACCCTATCAAAAGACTGGATAAAAAACCGGATGTGTTATACCATGATGTAGTGGCAAGGCCAGCATATCCTAGCAGCGTGCTTCCCAACAGAAGCCTGCCTTGCTTTCTGTCTTGCTTGCAGTTTGGTGCAACCTCCTAGAAGCTGAACAGGAAGGTTGCCTTATTCTGTTGAACTGCCTTCTTCTTTCGTTCCCTCTTGTGTAATGAGCATTCTTCAGCACTGAAAAGAAAAAATAGAAATATTTTTCCTCTGAACGAAAGTCTTGTCAGTGAAGCAGATGCATGGTCTTCTATGCCCAGATCCATCCCAAATTTCCATGCATTTAGAGTTTCTTGATAATGATATTTTCCTAACTTTGTGTTTTCAGGTGTTGAAAGCAGCACATCTGATACTCTGGCATGGCAGAAGGCATTGTGGTCTTTGTTAAGGGATAATGAGTGTTAAATGTCCCAGTACAGAAATATGGTTGTGTATGCATGGTGGAGCCACCAATTCTGTTTATTCCTGAGTTCTTTTTCTCCCAGTAATGGCTTGAATAATCATGAGGAGCAGAAGAAAACAATAAATGGTGAGACAAATGTGAGAGAAGTAACAAAGGGAAAGGAACAATCCTTTTTTGTAGTTACCACAACTGGATCCTCACCAGCTGAAAACACTCAGATGAATGGTAATAGTTTTATGAAGGTCAGTGCAATTATTAAAGCCTTTTTACCAAAGTGCAATGAAATCTTGAAAAAAAATTAAAGTAACTCCCATATAAAATGGGAAGGAGGGGACCAACACTGTGGATTTGTTGGCAATAAGAGCTTTATGTAATAGGAAAATATTCCTTGATACTATCTCATCTTCAATGCTGATTTCATACTAATTATAAATATACTAATAATATAATATACTAAGTAATCCTAAGATCTTGGGATGGATAGAACCACTTATGTTTGTTTTTAGGCAGTCTGGTGTTTTATAGATATTAGGTTCAAACCAAAATATTTTACAGAATTACCAACTCAGTGTGTTTGCAAAGGGCTGTGCCTGGTGCAAGCTCTGTGCTGAGTAACAGCTGAGTTCACATTACAATGTTTCTTTCAGCCAAGATGCATCTAGAGACCATTACAGAGTCTCCTTCCTCTAGCTACCTATTATTCACATAAAATTTCTACCTTGTCCCTAGACATCTGCAATGCATTACTGAGTTATGAGGCAGTAAGGACAGATGTGCCTACACATTTGTCCCGATTGCACAAGCCTTTGTTGAAGCAAAAAGACAGGGAGCAAGGTGAAGACAGTGAAGCCTTGAAAACCAGTCAGAGGAGGCAGACATAAAATAATCAGGGTATGTGTACTGCATACTGAGCCCCTTCAAATGAAACATTTAGCTGTATAGTTACAAAACTAGAGGCATCCACGTGTTAACCACTTGGATATTTTCCCAGTTCTCAAGAAGAATTTGCAGCTCATGTTTAGCTTGGTTACTGCCACAGCTATTCTGCTGGCAGTATTTAAGCCACTGCTGAAAAGGCAGTTGGATACCTGCATGACTTGCAGTATTGACAAGAATACAGCCAGACAGGACTGATAGAGTGAGCCTTTAGGTGTCACTGTGCTCTTAAGAGTAGAAATTAGCTCAACATTTTGGCTAGCTCAAAAAAAATTTTTTTTTCTGATCACAGAAAAAACTTCATTTGGTGATATGGGAAGTTTTAATCTTCAAAAGTGCATGGGAATTATTATTAAGCATCAACATCTATTTGTAAAGCTGTGAAAAAGGAGAGCGTTCTTCATGAAAGCCTACAAATAATCTGAGTTGAATAATAGACTAATTGTGCACGACTGCCTGTAGTTGCACTTGGTCTACAAAATGGGTCCAGGGACAAAGGGATGATTGCGTGACTACCACATGCTGTCATCCTCCCTGTCTCATAGATACTTGCACAACTAAAAAGCACTCATGTAACAATGTATCCTGAAAACACCCAGAACAGATCCTTGAGAGGTGACCTGAGGCGTACAGCCTCTGTCAGACAGAGGGTAACAAGTATTATGCAGATCTTTATGAGAGAAAAATGTATCACGAAATTAAAGATATTGGAGGCTGGATGAATCTTAACAAGATGCAAAGGCAACAGTGAATTTGCTTGTGTCAGAGCCTTCCTAGAAGTTAGATTGTAGCTAAAAGCTAGCTACTGGGCTCAGTTCACTGGGGGTGAAAAAAGACAAACAGATGACGTGAAATGGCTTGAAGTATGCTGAAATAGAGGTGAAATGACTGATATCCAGTAGCCCTAAGCCCCATAATTCTAATTCATAATTCATAAGTCATTATTCTCCACTAAGCATATACTAAATCCTTTGCATCATGACTGAAGCCCCCAGCATACTTTTGGTGAGGCAGTTTTGAGACCATTTGAACCTATTTTCAGCTGAAGATACTAAACGCTCTGCACAGTCCCACATCTTTGGCATGTTTAAGACAGTTTAACCTTGAAATGTTTTCAGTCTCGGGCGTAGATGCGGTGTGGGACTGTGTCACTCTGCATGTTTACAGCCATCGGGAGGAACATGTGGGAGGAACATGTGGAACAACGTGCCCAGGGAATCAGAGTGGGAGTCTCTACACGAACACAGAGCAACTGCGCCACTCACACAGCCGATGGCAGCTCACAGGGGGGATGTGCCTGAGGATGGAGCTGCACACAGCAGCCTCCGGCCTCCTCAGTGCTCACAGGCTACGTGCACTAGATCCCGTGCACTGTTTTCGGGTCCCGTTTGAGGAGGAGGACCAAGGTACAGCCTCCTGCAGCCCACCCTGTGGAAAGCATATACCACTGAGAGTCTGCACCTTGCTCTTCATATTTTAGAAATAAGATTCCAGATCAATAGTCTGCTCAAAGCTTAGCGATGAAGTGAAATTTTCCAGTGTATTGATGGGCCGTCTCTCTCCTTCTCCCTCAGCAGTTACATCCTCTGAGGTGCCTGTGAAGCCCGGTATTTCACCTTCAAAAATCATCAAACTTCTCGGCCATCAGGGTGACGAGGAGAGGAAGGAATTAGGCTGTTCCCGAGCAGGGAGCGGTCAGTGAATTTACCCATGGGCACAGCTGCTGACACCGCCCTGCCGCCCCTCACCTCAGCCTGGGCCCGTTTGCCCTCAAACTGGAAATCGCGTCCCAGCAGCAGCACGGCCGATGCCCGGGGCCCGGCCTCCAGCCAGCCAGCCCTTTTGGGCCAGAGGGTCGCACGGGAGATGCTCGGGAGCGGGGGCACATCCCGGGGGACGGGCTAGATGCGGGGGCCGCGCCCGCCGCGGCTGCGGCACCGGGAGGCGCAGGGGGCCCGGCGCGCCCGCGGCGCTCCCTCCTCCGCACGGCAGGTGGCGCCCGAGCAGCGCCCGCCCGGCGGCTGCGGGGGCGCGGGAGCCCCGGCGGCGCCTGCGCGCTGCGGAGGCGGCGGCGGAGCGGCCTGAAGCAGCCCGCGGGGAGAGCGGGCGGCGGCTGCGGGGGTTCGGCGTGTCGCGTCCCAGGGCGGCCGTGATCGTGCGCCACGATGCCTGCGGTGTCGAAGGGCGATGGCATGCGAGGCCTGGCGGTCTTCATCTCCGATATCCGCAACTGTGAGTAGCGCCGGGACCGGGGCCTGGGCTGGGCCGCGCCGGCCGTCGCCATGGGCTGGTGCCCCGTGGGGCCGGGGCTTCACCTCTCGATCTCCTCCGCAGTGCTCCCCTCTTCCCCTTGATCCCCGCAGCGGACAGCTCGGAGCGCTCCTGTCTCACGAAATGGCGACGCGCTCGGGGGGGGCGGCGCGGCGGGGAGGGGGGGCGGCATAAAGCATTTGCCCGTGGGCTTGTGCGCTTTGGGTGGGTGGGTTGGGGTGTTTCCCTCCCCCTCTCCAGCCCTGTCACCCCCTTGCCCCGTCCTTGAGTGTCGCGGTGGCCGCCCCGGCGGAGGGGTGCCGGCGGCCGGTGCCGCCGTTGTTCGCGATGCGCCGGAGCGGTGCCGGGGCGCGGGTGGGTGTGCGGCGGGGCAGGGAGAGGCGTCCCTGGGCTCCTTCCAGATCCCTGAGCGGCTCTCGGTTCATCACGTCACTGATGGAAAACAGGCCTCTGTAGGCGCCGGAGAGCAGGGCCCTCCGTGCGTGTGCCTAGGCTTGGTTGAAATTGGCTTTCAGATTCTGCCTTGATGGAATTCAGCGCTTGGGATCAGTGTGATTAGAAACGGGGTGGAGGGGGGTGCGAGTGAGTGTCCCCCCAGAGAAGTGGGGGCAGCGTGTCTGTGAGTGTGCAGCGGGAGAGGAGGAGTACAGATCTGCTGCTGCTTGCTGTCAGGGGGCAGGGGTATGTGTAGGGGCACACCTCGGTGCTCAGTCTTCTTTTTTGTCCGAGAACTGCCTACGATAGTTTAATATTAATCAGAGTTAGAGATCTAAATGTATGATGTGGCAGGAATTGCCTGGGGAAGGGCTAAGGTCGCTGTGGTTGTTGTGATGAAACAGCTCTATTCTGTCCACCTATGTGTCTCTGTAGATCACTTGAGGCTATTTTAAAACAATGGAGGAATGGTAGTAAGGCCTTCTCTCTAAAGATATAAACAGATTTGAAGAATTTTTTAATGCAAATTATGTTGTTCTGACTGGGCTTGTGTTGGAATTATTTAACCACACTGGCTTGGAAAACTTCATAGTGATGACTTCTAATACAAAAAAACCTGGCAACCATTTATACTGGTAAAATGAGACCATTGAAATGCAGTGTCTTTGAAATCAGGTGATTTAGACTTCCAGACATGTGAACAGGGCCTTTATATGTAAAATTCAAGATTGATAATCCTCCTTAGAGCAGAAGCTGTTTGAAAAGGGGTGACTTTTTCGTTTTCAAAACAGAGTTGTGGGTCCTTAGATTGCTTTAGACTTCGCTCTGGTGTGTGTAGAAGATGGCTTATATATAAAATGTGTAGTGTAGCAATTCAAGGCTACAGAAATGTTCTTGTGCTTTGTCTTGTTGGCCTTTAGTGAACATTTTCCAGTGTCCTGGTGTTCTGTGCAAGCTACATGTGTAACATAATTCCACTTGGTGTCATAGCAGTTAAGACTTGCTGTTGTATCTTCCCAATACAATTCACAATGATTTTTTAATCATTGTTTTCATTGGTTTAGCTAGAAGCAGTATGACTTGATTCATCAGTGTCTCACGTCTTGCAGTTGGTTAACTTTGTCCACTCTTGTTTTCAGTGGAATTCACTAGAAACAAATAGAGGATAAACATTCAGGCTCTTAGTTTTGTAACCTGTGTTCAGGGATGTGAAATAACAAAATTAAACGTTGCAGGATATAATAAATTAGGTACTTATTTCCCCACGAGGCAGTATAGGAACAGAGCTGAAGCTACCTCGGTCCAGATGGGACAACACAGCTCTTATGCTCTAGTTATCTGCAGGAGACACAACGATATAACTTACTAGTGATACAAATAAAATGTTAACACTTTTACTCTTTAAACAAATAGTGGTATGTCTCAAATGTTTTGTCTCTGTCCAGACAGATGTTTGGGAGCTGTAATTGCTTGTGTATCTTTCTTGTCTTCGTAATGAAAAAAGTAGCAACATCTTCTAAAGAGCTGCGGGAGAGCTGGAATTCCCACTAGTAGGTGATGTATGAAGCTTCCAAATAGCTGTGAATGGCATTTGAGCTTTTCCTTTAGTGGAGCTCTGAGTGCTGCCAGCTAACCATGGGCTAGTGTACACAGACTAAGATTCACAAAAATACTTCCTGGAATATTCACAAAAGTACTCTCTGGAGACTCTGGGCTTTGCAGGTGCTGCTATTGGCTAAAGCTCCCTCTTTGCCTCTTCAGTGAGGAGCAAGATGTTGTCAAGAACAAAAACTAGCAGCTCTTAAGGTGAACGGCATCTTTTGGCTAAGCAAAGAAAGCAAGTGTTGCTTTTTGAGAAGGGAGAGAAGCTAGACACCATGTGCAGCTCTTGACCTCTATTTCTAGCCTTAAAATTAGGCTAAATATCTGATAGTTGCAGTGATGTGCAAAGTTCTGCTGGCATGCTTAATTTCAATCCAAATTTTGGCTTTGTTCGAATCTTGTAGCTATTTTTAATACTACCACAAAGGCCTGGCACTTTTAGATTGCCAATGGCCTTTCCAGATTATGAGTAATTGTGAAACATGCCATGTATAGAGGGAGTATTCTGAAAATTCCGCACAGATAAGGATCCTACATTATAGATCTTGCTGAAAAATGAAAATACAGTTGCTGTGTGCTGACTGTGCTCAGGTGGATGCACAGCATGTGACTTCAAATAATTCAAGTACCCTAAACTTCTGGAGGGTACTTGTGTAAATTTTGACTGTGTAACTTCGGAAATGCTTGATCTCCTTACATCAAGATTTATTTTTTGGACATTTGTATCTACAATGTCTGCAGCACTAAGTAGTGCAGGATTCTCTTACAGGTTGGATATATTACTGATTTGGGAGTGATGCCTGTCTTGATACCAGTCTGTTACAGGTTTCACATAAATCTTTCTTGATAGCAGTTTTCAGTGTTTACAACTTTAGCTGATTGTGAACAAGCACTACCAGCCTGTCTTTGATACCTAAGAGCTTGGTTGTCACTTTTGTGTTGTTTAGACATATTTTTGGCATGTGGTTTATCTATTAAACATCTTGATTTTTGTCTTAATTACTTCTATGTCATATGTAATTTTTAAAGCAGACTATTTTTAAAGTACACTTATTTCTCAAAAGTCGGATGTTTTTCATGAAAAACATTTGGAATGCTACTTGTAGCAGCAGTTGTAAAATATTTCAAGGCTAAGAGAGGCTTCTCAGCACTTTGACTTTGCTCTAGTCTCTGTGAAGCTGTCATATTGAGTGTCTTCTTTCAAAATGAAATGTTCTTTATTCATACAAAGATCAAGTGAATTTTCAAAATATGATAATACAAGAAAATGAATTATCCTTCAGTTCCTTATAGCTCTCCAGAAATTTGTTTCAGGGCAACTTCTTATTGTAGGCTCTGCATTTTGCATATGGAGGTCCTAGTGCAGATGGCAGGTAAAAATATTTTTTAGAAAATAACCCAGTAGATGCATGGACTTTTCTACAGACTTGGTCATTTGGATTGTTTTGTAACATAGATGAATTGCTACAGTAAGTACGTTTTTAGCTTATTTTTCATGGACACCAGAGAAGAGACAAGAAAACTGCAGGCGGAAAGGCCAGACTGCAGTGCTTGATTAGGATAGCCCAGTTAATTAGTGTCTGGTTGGTGTGACTGAGAAAATAGTTAGGTGTGGCTGTGCTGTACAAAAGACTGTGGTGGAGTGGAGCTGAAAGCTCTGAACCCGTGGTTTGGTGAAGTGCTCTCCAAACTTAGGAGTTCAGGTCAGGAGGAGTCCTTGTCACTGCATGGATTATGTGCCTCAGGAACTGAAGCCTAACAAGAGCTGCATGTCTTACAAGCACATGGACTCCTGCAAGAAATATTTATTCTTAAATGGTATGTTAAGTCTTTCCTTGTGTACTGCAGAGCTGCTGAAGCAATTTGTCTTATGCAAGATGGTGCTTTATAAACTCTCCAGCTGTCTTAGCTGACAGATACATCATCAGGATTCTGTTTTCATTTTTTTAAGTACAGCTTTATGCTTATCTCACAATGAAATACTTTTAAGTAATTTGTCACTCAGCCTATTCTGCTGCAGCAACAGTGCTATCTACTACTCACCCTGTAAACCAGGAAAGCTTGCTTTTATCCTTTCATTTGTAGGCTGTAATGTAGAAATAGTTTCTATTACAATGTGAAGTGTTTCACTGGTAAGCCCCTGCTCCACAGTAAAATTGGGAAGCCAGTTCCTCTTGGTTTAATGAAATGTGTCTACACAGAGGCAAAAGCTGCTTGTGTCACAGGTTTGGAGGACAAGACAGTTCTTAATTTCCCTTGCTAGGTCTGTCTTACCTTTTCAGTTTTGCCCCAGAAGCTGGACAGAAGGAAGAAGGATTCCTTAGTTTGTTCTCCAAATGTTTCTTTGTATGCTTTCTTCCAAGTTACTGTTTCTTTTTCCTCAGGCCATATTTCTTCCTTAAATAAAATCCAACAAATATAATAAACAAAGGCCTATCTCTTCTCATAGAACTTAATGCATTAAATTTTCATTGTACTGGACAAGGGATAGTGTCCTGAAGCTGAACCTCCCAAAATATATCTTTGTTTCACTGCATTGGGACTGGTGCATCAGGTTACAGATCAGTAAGTGGGGATTGAAAAAAGATGGTTTATTAAATTCATCATATGATCATCACCTGTTTGAATGGAAGTTTTGAAGTGCCTTGCAGGTGTAGGTAGGAGGGACATGTACATGGATTAAATGACTGGATGGGTATGTGTAAAGTTATTTGTTCTCTGTAAGAACTGCCACCCAGTGAAACAAACTTCACATAGAGCTTGGTTTAGTTACCTGTAAGTAATTATTATATGTCAATAATAAGCTTTCACTGTATAGGCTAAAGCTACTGCATTGCTCCTCTGGTGTTGGTTCTTGTTTGCATTGTGTGTAGTGTTAAAGTAGGACTTGAAATACTTCTAGACAGTCAGAGACTTTTTTTACA